AGCCTGGGTGGCTTAGTCGGTTAAGTGTCCGATGTTGGCTCAGGTCATGATCTCGTGATTCATGGATTTGAGCTCCGTGTTGGGCTCTGCACTGACAGCTCAGAGCCTGGAACCTGCTTCAGATTCTATGTCTGCCTCTCTCTCTGCCCCTCCCCTACCTGCACTCTCTCTCTCTCTCTCTCTCTCAAAAATAAACAAACATTGGGGCGCCTGGGTGGCGCAGTCGGTTAAGCGTCCGACTTCAGCCAGGTCACGATCTCGCGGTCCATGAGTTCGAGCCCCGCGTCAGGCTCCGGGCTGATGGCTCAGAGCCTGGAGCCTGTTTCCGATTCTGTGTCTCCCTCTCTCTCTGCCCCTCCCCCGTTCATGCTCTGTCTCTCTCTGTCCCAAAAATAAATAAACGTTGAAAAAAATTAAAAAAAATAAAAATAAACAAACATTAAAAGAAAAAGAATAAACATGATTATCCCAAGGTTATGCATCTTATTCATCAATTTAGTAAAAAAACATTGATACTATATTCCTTTGCTAAGGCTGTCATAGCAAAGTACCACAGGCCAGGTGATTTAAGTAACAGAAATTTATTTCCTCACAGTTCTACAGGTTAGAAGTCTGAGACAAGGTTAGTTTCTTGTAGAGGGCTGTGAGGGAGAATCTGTTCCATGCCTCTTCTCTACCTTCTGGTGATTCCCTGGCAGTCCTTAGTGACCTTGGATTTCAGAGGCCTCACCTTGATCTCTGTCTTCTTCTTCACATGGCAGACTCCATGGGAAGAGTTCTCATACTCTTACCATGTGATCCAGCAGTCAAGGTCTTTGGTATTTACCCAAAGGAATTGAAAATTTATATCCACACAAAAACCTGTGTACTAATGTTTGTAGTAACTTCATTCATAATCACCAAAACTTAAAGTAACTGAGACGTCCTTCAGTGGGTGAATGGATAAATAAACTGTGGCACATCCTAATAATGGGGTATTATTCAGTGCTAAAAAGAAACGAGCCATCAAACCATGAAAACACATGGGGGGAACCTTAAATGCACATCACTAAGTGAAAGAAGCCAATCTGAAAGGGCTATAGACTATATGATCCCAACTATATAACATTTTGGAAAAGGCAAAACTATGGAAACAGTAAAAGACCATGGGTAGTTATAGGCTGCGAGGAGAGGTAAGTAGGCAGAGCACAGGGGATTTCAGGGCAATGGAAACACTGTATGGTACTATAGTGGTAGATAGGTGTCATTATACATTTATAAAAATCCAGAGAATATCCGACACCAAGTGTGAACTCTGATGTCAACTATGGACTTTGGATGACAATCATGTTTCAGTGTAGGTTCATTGATTATAACACATGCATCACCCTAATGCAGGATGTTGATAGTGGGGAGAGCTGGGTGTGTGGAGCAAGGAGGACAGGGGCTAACTGGTAACTCTATACTTTCCACTCAGTTTTGCTGTGACCCTCAAACTGCTCTAAAAATCAAGTTTAGGTCTCTTGATCTCAGTTCAGGTTTTGATCACACAGTCATGAGTTCAAGCCCAGCATTGGGCTCTGCACTGGATGTGAAGCCTTCATAAAAATAATAAATTAATAAAAATAAAGTTTATTTATTAAAAAAACTATAATAAAATACAGAAAGTAGAAATACATAGAAATAATCCATATAGAAATTCAGTATAGGAAATGATCCATACTCTTTGGTTCCAGGAGACTGTAGAGTCCTTGAGAACAGAAATTATTCTTAGTTATTGATATATCCAATATCTGACATAGTGCTTAATAAATAGCAAACAGATGCTGGTTGGATGAACGAATGGATGGGTGGATGGTTGAATAAGAGATGTAGTACAGGAAACTTCTGGAAGAGGAAGAGTCCTTCTAACAATTATTTTGCCTTGGGAAGATTAACTCAGTGCAGACAGAGTAGTGACCTTGCCCCACACACGGTGTTTTTTTGGTTTGTTTTGTTTTTTATAATTTTTTTAACATTTATTTATTTTTGAGACAGAGAGAGAGCATGAACAGGGGAGGGTCAGAGAAAGAGGGAGACACAGAATCTGAAACAGGCTCCAGGCTCTGGGCTGTCAGCACAGAGCCCGACACGGGGCTTGAACCCACAGACCGCAAGATCATGACCTGAGCCAAAGTCGGATGCTTAACTGACTGAGCCACCCAAGCACCCCCCCACACACATAGTTTTGGGTTGCTGTCTGCATAGGCGATCAGCCTAGTGTACAAGCTCAGAAGCAGAGCGGGAATGTCCAGAGCAGCAGTGGAGTAGATTGGAGCCTGATGCATCAGAACAATGAAGGTCTGACTTTCCAGAAAACAAGCCAGAAACATGTTTCTCCTTGAAGATACTGCAAGAGCAGTAGCAGTCCAGCCTCCTCAGGTACAGACAAAGCAGGAAGTGGAGTAGATAGAGGAAATTGTGAATATTTTCCAATCTCTAGGGAGCACTTGGAGAGTATGCTTTTCCTGTAAGCCACTCTTCTTCCTCTGTGGGAAGGTATAGTGCATCCAGTGAGCTGGGAGGCAGGATTCAAATCTCAGTTCATTCAAAGTCCATGGAACATTGTTAGATTGTTTTACGCCTTGGTAGTTTTGTTGTTTTTTATTTGTTTTTTTTTTTTTATGCCTTGGTAGTTTTATATGTAAAATGAAAAAATGTTCTTTTGCTTATTATTATTGTCAAATAAAAATCGTTCTGGACTCCTTGGGGTGACAGCATCAGAGATGATTAGTCTTTGTGCCACGAATGACCCAAGTGCCTGGTCAAGGTCATACCCGTGCCCGAGGTCAGGCCCCTTTGAGCCCCATCAGTCTAGCTGCCAGACCCAGACTGAGCTAGGCCCTGATTTGCTGTCTTCTGAGCCTCCAACTGTACTCCAAATGAATATTGTAATTACAGGATATCAAGGGGAGCCCCAGTCTAGAAAGATTACACAGTTCTTTTCATAAACAGTTGAATTAAGAATTGAATGTCGATTGATGCAGCATGTGATTCTCTGTAATGAATCTCTAAATGCTGTTAAAAATCCAACTTGGGAACTTACACAACTGGACTTTCTAGTCTGTAACTGACACACAAAGTTTTGAAGGAACACAGTTTTCAACAGTCTATTTCAAGGCATATTCCTGGGGTCATTTATCCATAACGTCTACAGTTTCCTCAAGAAAAATACAGCAGGATGTCAGATGCTGTATTTATTTCCCCGCCTGCCATTAAAGCCCACACTGGTTGCCTCTTTACAAGTTATGCATGTTACAAATGGAAATTCCTTACCAGGAGAGTATTCTTAGAAAAGTGATTCACATCCAGCCTATCAGCACATTTATTGTTCTACTTCCAAAATATACCCCAGTGCATTGACTTCTCTCTGTCTCCACCATTTACTATTCTAGTCCAAGCCATCATCATCTCTCACTAGACTACTGCGATAGTCTCCTGACAATTCCACTTTTCTGTCTGCTCCCAATCCATTCATTTCTACATAGTAGGCAGATTCATCAGTTTAAAATATCACAGCTCCCTGCTTTGAAATCTCTAGTGGCTTTACATAGCGATTCAAATGAAGTCCAAACTCTACAGTGAGCCCAGAGGGCCTGGCTCATGCTCACCTCTCTGGCTCCTATCACATCATCCCTCACTGTCCTCCAGCCCCACTCTTCCTTCTTTCCTCACGCAAGGCCTTGCCCTTGCTGCCCCCTCTGCCTGGAATGTTCTGATTCCTGTTCTTCGCCTAGGTGGTTCCCTTGTCACCAAGGCCTCAGCTTCTCAGAGGGCAGCTCTCCCTAACCTCCCCAACTCAAAAGGCCCTCCCTGCCCTTTGCAGTCACTCTCCATTGCTCCTCTATGTGTTTTTCTCTTCACAGCCCGTTTTGTTACTGAAAATGTCATGTTTGTCTATTTGTTTCTTAATGCCTGCCCTCTCACTGCCTAAACACCCCAAGGGAACAAAGATCTTAGTTTTGCCTCTTCTGAATCCCCTGTGACAAGAGCAGTGCCTGGCATAAGATATATATTTATTGGATAAGTGAATACCTAGATATATACAGATATATCTATATATTCATTCAGCAAATGTATTTGTTTAAATGTTTATGTATTCATATGTTATATATGAATGAAAAAATGTCCCTGAAGATTTTTTTCACATCCAGTTTTTATCATGACTTAGAATGTTGGAGTGGATGGAATAATCAATTCTATTAAGTGTAGGAGCTGGATTAAAATAAAGGCAGCAACATAAGAAAACAATAAAGATTTTGTCTGTTTCCTATACCTTACTGCACCTTGAACATAGTTGGAATGACACCAAGAATTACCATAGACTCCTTGATAAAATGCCTTCTATGCCTCCAAGAAGAGGTGTGGGGTGTGTGTGTGTGTGTGTGTGTGTGTGTGTGTATGTGTGTGTTTCTGAATATATTTTTATGTACCTTATTTAGGGTTTTACTACTATAAATTCTAATCTGTAGTCCAGAGTTCTCATGCCTATACTTAAACGATACATATCCTTTGATTTTGATGCTGGGATCTTTGGGTCTTTCTTCCTTAGCTCCCTTTATTAAGTTCACTTTTAAGATGGCCTCAAGGAAAATGAACATCTGGAAATGACCACATTAAATCCCAAAGTTAAGTATCACATAGACCAATTTTTCTGTGGCCCAAGGAATTAGATATTTTTACCTCCTCTGAGGGGAGTTCCTCGTTTATTTTTTTTCTTCATACTGGCATTCATAAATTTTTTTTTTTTATCACTTGCCGGGTAACAGGTACCATGCTCACCTCTCATATTAAAATAACAAATGAGACTGAGCCTACTTGGATCTTGGCCTACTTGGGTCTCAGAATGACATCATTGTCTATGGGATGACCTTCTTATGCTGGAGCCTTAGAATTCTTACCCAGTCTGTCTCCAGCCATAGTCACTGCCTTGCTATATATGCCAGGGAAGGTGATGTTAACATTTTCATGGTATGTTTCAGCAACTTGGAAGTATATACAGTATACTGGCTGCAATCATGAATGTTGGAAACATTGAATTTTCTTCTGTGGCAACTGAACACCAGCTTGACAAGAGCCACATTTCCAATCATGCAGCTCTGGAAAACTGTGAGTTTTATTATCTTCTGTTCAACACTGAACTCTTTTTTTTTTAATGTTTATTTATTTTTGAGACAGAGAGAGACAGAGCATGAGCAGGGAAGGGGCAGAGAGAGGGGGAGACACAGAATGTGAAGCAGGCTCCAGGCTGTGAGCTGTCAGCACAGAGCCCGACGCGGGGCTCGAACTCACGAACTGTGAGATCATGACCTGAGCCGAAGTCAGACACCCAGCCAACTGAGCCACCCAGTTGGTGGCTGAACTCTTGAAAAATGTCTAATGACATACTTGTAAGTGTCACATAAAGACAATTTCAAAAAAAACTTCAAAAAAAAGATAATTTCAAGTGATCGTACTGATAGAGAATCCTGAAAAAGAATATTCAGATTCAATTTGCATAAAATGAAGCTTTTAAAGTCCAATATTTAAAACACATATTCATGCCTGCAAAATAACTGATTACTGAAGAAAACCTTCCTAAGTCTAGGCTCTAGACTGTTTTAGGAGCTATTTACATTTCAATGTAAAAACACAGAAAATATAATTAAAATTTAGTAAACTGATCTGAAAGGAGTTAAAGTTATTATTTGATAGATTTAGTGTATATATAATTTTATTTTATTTTTTAAATATAATTTGTTGTCAAATTGTCTTTCATAAAACACCCAGTGCTCATCCCAACAAATGCCCTCTTCAATGCCCGTCGCCCAGTTTTCCCTCTCCACCCCCCATCAACCCTCAGTTTGTTTGTTCTCTGTATTTAAGAGTCTCTTATGGTTTGCATCCCTCCCTCTGTGTTTGTAACTTTTTTTTTCTCTTTCCCCTCCCCCATGGTCTTCTGTTAAGTTTCTCAAGATCAACATATGAGTGAAAACATATGGTATCTGTCTTTCTCTGACTGACTTATTTCACTTATAAGCAATAAAGACTTGTATATTTATTTTCATACCAGATGAATTTTTATACTCATTCATCCTGGGTTAACTGATTTTGCAATAATTTTGTATACAAGAGAAGTGCAATATTGTATTTGCTTTAAATCAACTTTTTTCTCTATCTAGCAGAGTTTAATGAATTATTCCAATAACTTAAGGTTTCCCACTGATTTTCTGGTGGCACAGCTTTTTTATTTAGAATATATGCTATTTTTTTTTAATTTTTAATGTAGGCATATGCCTCTATAATTCCAGATTTGTTATGTTTCATATATAATGTAGAGAATCATGATATAAATTTTTATTTATATATTTTTTCTGATTTATACTTAATCAGAAACAGAATGAGCTGTTTTAGGGTAAATTTCAGAGGACCAGATACGAACCATTCTAGTCTGGACCTGTCCTTAGATCCCTATCATCTCCATGCCACTTTGTCTCTGGGACCAGCTTAGTAATACAGAAGAACTGAGATTGGCATGTAATGATTGCCGTGGACCTGAGAACCTTTTCTGATTTTTCATATATAAATAAAGTTAAATGACCAGAAGATATTAGACTAATAGTTGTTTTTTGTTTTGTTTTGTTTTGTTTTGTTTTGTTTTCTGGGCCATGGATCTCCCTCTGGCCCATGATGAGCCAGGCCTTCTTCTGGCCAATGTGCTGCAGGCTATGTAGATCCTGGGCTGAACCTTCATTCAGCAGACCTAATATTTTTTGGCACCCATGGGCCAGTAGTTCCAGGTTGATCTGTAGCTCCCAGCAGTCCCCAGTTATCAGATGTGGAAGGAAAAAACAGAAAACTCCAGTGATATATTCAGATCTCACCATTGATCATAATTAGAATAGTTATCAACAATGAAGAGAATGATTGACCACAGAGATATTTGTAGATTATGAATATATACTCAGAAACTAACAAACTAAGAACTGACTTTGATAATTGAGAACCTATTTCTATATAGGAAACAGTCATATGAGTCACAAAAGATTAATATTTATATGAATGTAGTTAAAATTAAAGCACTTTGTGGAATAGCCTTTTATGGCAAATAAAAATTTTGCTAACTTATAATGATTTATAATTAAAGTTGCAAGGAATTATCTCCAAGCCAAGGCCATGTTTCCTGATGGTTTTACAGGTACATTGTTTCAATCAGGGTCCAGTTCTGGCTGTTCTGTCTCATAAATATCTCTCAAATCTGACCACTTCTGTTTATCTCCATCATCTTCGTTCTCACTGAAGACAACATCACCTCTCACCTCAGCTAAGTAACCTCCCAATTGTTCATTCTACATCAGTTCTTGAACTTTTCCAGGCCATTCTCCACAATTCATTCAGAAACCACTTAATGCATGTATCTAGAAGGTTCTCTCAATCTTTCTCTCCCTCTCTCCCTCCCTGTCCCTCTCCTCCTCCCTCTATCTTCCTACTTGAGTTTCTTGATTAGCTTCCATTCCTTCTAGATAAAGATGATCAAGACTAGAAGTTTGCCTTATGAGGTATTATACTTAGCAATATATCCCCAGGTAAAATGAACAATGCAGGAATAGAAGTAGACTATTAATCAATGGGAAACACTATTCAGAAACAGAAACAGATCCAAGCAGAATTGCCAGAAATGGCATTACAAATCACTAGGGAATCAGTGTTGTAGGGACAGCAAACTGGCTAGCCACTTAGGGGAGTGGGGGTGGGGGGGGATTTGAATTCTTGTCATATACCATATACCAAAATAAATTACAAATCTATACCATTTAAATGCAAAAAATCATAAAAGTTCAGGACAAGAGTGCGTTTATATAATCCTGAAATGAGAAAAGACTTGAAGGATTTTATGTGCAGAAAACCAAAAGCAGAAAGGATTTTTAATGGATATTTGACTACATAAATATTAAAACCCTTTCATACTAACAAAAGAAAAATAAACGAAATTGCAATACAGGTAAAAAATAAAAGAAAATATTTGTACTATACATATAAGAAATATGTGTAAGCTATGAAGAGCTCTTCTAAGCTTATTAGGAAAAGACAAATGTATCAATGAAAAAAGGGAGTTTATAAAATAAAACCACAAATTACTAATAAAAATATGAAAAAAAGAAAGTATTTAGCTTCACTAGGAGTCAGTTAAAAACAAATTGAAAAATGAAGGCATTTTTTCCTATCAAATAGGCCATTCTCAAAAATAATATATGGTACCCATGAAATTGCATTAAAATTTTTTTTTTGGCTGATAAGAATGTAATTGGTTCAGGGTTTTTGAAGAATAGCTAAATAGTATACATAAGAAGGCTTAAATATGTTTATATACACTGAACCAATTACTGATTCTAAGCAATTTATGCTAAGAAAATCATACGAAACAGGAACACAGATTCATACACAAAATATTTATCCCAGCATTCTTTACAATTATGAACATATGGAAACAACCTAAACATCCAACAATTTAAAATTATTGATATATTATGATATATAGCAGACTATTATGCAGCAAATTAAAATTTACAAGCGATATTTAATAAAGTGAGAAATGCTTAAGATATTAAGATGAAATATATGTGCAGAATAGTGACAGTAAACATGCTTAAAAGGAAAGAAATGCAGAATGTTAACTTGAAAAGCAAGATATCTACAGTGGACTTGTATTACCTCTACAATGTGAAAACAATATTTAAGCAAGGTCCAGTGATCTTAGCCACATAGCTGAGAACTATCTTGTCCCAATGCTATAAGTAAAATTCAAAATGTTGAAAATAATTTAAAAGGAGAACTGATTTAAAAAATAGTCTGTCATGTGATAGTTTGGGTTAAAGATGTTTTATATTAAAAAATGAGTTTTATTGCCTGAATTTAGGTATTTTTCATTTAAAATTCCCTGTGATATGTAATTACCATTAAATATGCATGTTCCAGGCATCACACTTTAACAGAATTTAATTATTGAAATATATAACTGAGAAGTAGTAGGATACAAAAATACATTAATGTTGAGATAAGGTTTATGCTGTTTTGGTTAAATATTGCAAAAGTTAGGTAAAATACATTGGTTTGGGCATATCTCTCAAGTCTAAGTAACTTCCAGTTAATTTCTACATTTTGAAAATGTGTATATGATAATGGCGTCCAAATTATACCAAATTTATTCATTATGCTTATAAATTATTTCACATAATTCAGTGAAATTATGTTTGGCATCATGTAAACAACCACTGGCTTGTGCCAATGTTCCCTCCTGTCAGCCAGTTCGGTTTGGGTTGTGCTGTATTTATTATATGGCAGCCTGCATGTGACCAGTCAGGGAGAGAAAAATGATCAAGAAGAGACACAGGACTCCTACTCAACAGCAACTTATTTTTACATTAGAAAGTCTTCACATATTTCTTTTATGTCGTTTGAAGAAGGTAAATTAAGACGTTTTCATTCTATAGGAAGTGACTTCATTGCCATAACTTTTTCTAACAACACATCTGTTTGTTTTTTTTAGCTGCTTCTTTGCTTTGCATTCAGGCAGATGAACTCAAAGAAGCTCTTACCTCCCACTGTGTGGTCACTAGAGGAGAAACCATTATTCGACCCAATACGGTCGAAAAAGCTACTGATGTCAGAGATGCTATGGCCAAAACTTTATACGGGCGTCTCTTTAGTTGGATAGTCAATCGCATTAACAGTTTATTGAAGCACAGCACATCGCCAAGGTAAAAATTCTCATGGAAACATTTTTTTCCCCAAATGTCAGGTGATGTAAATCTGTTTTCTAATTTATTGATTTGTATATGAGTCCCTTTGAAGACGTTTCTAATTGCTATCGCTGAATTATTACAGTTCTATCTCAGTAGATCTGCTTTATTTCCTAGTAGCCCTTTATTAGGCCAGATAGCTATAAAAATGCAAATGTCCTGGAACACAAAAACTGTAGCAACATGAATAAACATGAAAAGTGAATTTTTAAAGTGACATCAATTTATATGTTCTTTTAATAGGAAGGTGTACTGCAAAGTGTATATACCATTTTATACTTTCATAAAATGTCATTCCAGCAGGTTTTTTTGTTTGTTTGCTTTGTTTTGAGGGATTGAATTAAATCTTGAAGGCAAAGGAAAGCTTTCTTTTTATATTTTAACTCTCACTATAATCCTGTAAGGATAGGAATTATGACCTCCAATGAACTTTGGTTCCAAAATGTCCTAAGTAAATAGTACATGATAGAGTGAATATATGAACGATAATGTCATCGTTTATGCCCTGCCTAGTACCCCATCTTAGAAATAAAGAATCACAGCCACCACTGACTGAGTACTCTCTATGTACCAGGGATTGCGCACAGGTATAAACCCTTCCATTTACACCTAAAGCTTTGTTCTGCCACAAATTACACAATCTGTAGAAATTGTATACAAAAAGCAGGATAAATGCCTACCTTAAGTCACCTTGTTCACATTTGCTTACTAAGCATAAAAGACTATTCTATACACATTTCAGGCATGTAATTCAGTCATTTTTCCACGAAGGGCCACACCACATCATAATATTATCCAGAATGTCTAAGAGATTATCCATTATTCCTCCCTGTTCTTAATTCTCTATCCCCCAGAATTGCTTCTTTCCCTTTCTGCTAAACTGTAACCTATCCGATTGGGTCTGCAAATCAAATTCCAGTTTGCCCATTCTGATTTAATGATCAAAACACTTTGTATGTTCATGTGTGGCCATCGGTATGATGCCAAGCTTTCAGGTGAAAATGGAAAAATTCCAGAATGTTCACTATCTATGTATTCCACAGACGACTACATTTTGCTACTTATCATCTGCATGTTTGGCACTAAGGCGATCTGCTGAAAATTCCACTACAGCCTCTTTACTATTTGGTAACTTTCCTTTCCATACACTAAAGAAAGCCAGCCAAATGTTAGATTTTCAAAATTTTTATAGAAAGTTTAACAAACAGGGGCGCCTGGGTGTCTCAGTTGGTTAAGAATCCGACTTCAGCTCAGGTCATGATCTCAAGGTCAGGGAGTTCGAGCCCCGCGTTGGACTCTGTGCTGACAACTCAGAGCCCAGAGTCTGGTTTGGATTCTGTCTTGCTCTCTCTCTGCCCCTCCCCAGCTTACACTCTGTTCTCTCGGTCTCTCAAAAATGAATAAATGTTAAAAAAAAAAGTTTTTTAAATAAAGTTTAACAAATTAAAATAAGACCATTCATATAGTTCAGCAAAAATCTGTCAAGATTTATGTTAAGATTTTGAAGAGCCTGTATACTGTGCCAGTCTTTTCCACTAACTTGTTGTGCAACCCTTGACAAATTACTGCATTTCTCTGCATCTTGTCTTCTTCAACTATTAAATAAAGGCATGTAATGACAAATCAGTGGTCTTAGTTATTGATGGACATCTTGGAGCCTTTTAAGGATCTCTTGAGGGATGCCTGGGTGGCTTAGTCAGTTCAGTGTCCAACTTTTTATTTTGGCTCAGGTCATAATGTCATGGTTCATGGGATCGAGCCCTGCATCGTTCTCTCTCCTTCTCCCTTTGCACCTCTCCCACTCCCTCTCTTTCTCTCTCTCTCTATCTAAAAAAAAAGAAAAGAATAAAAGAAAGAATAAAAGGATCTATTGAAACTATGTTCTTCACTCCAAAATTTTAAAAATGGATATATTTCTACATACCCACCAAAATATTGTGCATGGTTGATTCCAGCCCCCTTGAAGACCATTAACAGACCCCAGGTTAAGAATCCCTGAATGAGGTCATCTCTAAGGTCCTCCTGGCTGTAACACACTATTAGATGAGTTAAATATCTCAGCAGGATCCTGTGGGATAATTTTTTAAAAGAATAATAATGTTGACTAAACCAGCATACATTTTCACTTTCTATTCAAAATAGGAATTTTCAGAAGTATTTGTATAGCTTTCCTTTTGTCAATCCCATCACACAAAGGGTCCTATAACTTTGTGTTCTGAGTTCAGTCAGTTCTTCCGAATACAGAGAGCATCCTTGACTTCCCAGCATGAGGTGGACAGCTGTCATTTCTAAATCACTTCCTCAGACAACACTAAGCGTTAACCTAGGTTACATATAGTGAGCACAGAGAAATGTTTGTACTCTCCTTTTTAAAATCACATGAAAATAACTGTAATGCATATATTTCTCAGAAGAGGCAAACTTTTGACCAACTATCTAGCCTTTAATGAACAGAGAGGTAACCATTATGGGGGAGCAGGAAAAAAAGTACATTTGGAATATTTAATTATAAAATAATATTTAAGATAGACTCCACCAAAGTCTGCTAGAACTGATACATGAATTCAGCAAAGTTGCAGGATACAAAATCAATGTACAGAAATCAGTTGCATTCTTATACACTAATAATGAAGCAACAGAAAGACAAATAAAGAAACTCATCCCATTCACAATTGCACCAAGAAGCATAAAATACCTAGGGATAAATCTAACCAAAGATGTAAAAGATCTGTATGCTGAAAACTATAGAAAGTTTATGAAGGAAATTGAAGAAGATATAAAGAAATGGAAAAACATTCCATGCTCATGGGTTGGAAGAATAAATATTGTCAAAATGTCAATACTACCCAAAGCTATCGACACATTCAATGCAATCCCAATCAAAATTGCACCAGCATTCTTCTCGAAGCTAGAGCAAGCAATCCTAAAATTCATATGGAACCACAAAAGGCCCCGAATAGCCAAAGTAATTTTGAAGAAAAGACCAAAGCAGGAGGCATCACAATCCCAGACTTTAGCCTCTACTACAATGCTGTAATCATCAAAACAGCATGGTATTGGCACAAAAACAGACACATAGACCAATGGAATAGAACAGAAACCCCAAATCTAGACCCACAAACGTATGGCCAGCTCATCTTTGACAAAGCAGGAAAGAACATCCAATGGAAAAAAGACAGTCTCTTTAACAAATGGTGCTGGGAGAACTGGACAGCAACATGCAGAAGGTTGAAACTAGACCACTTTCTCACACCATTCACAAAAATAAACTCAAAATGGATAAAGGACCTGAATGTGAGAGAGGAAACCATCAAAACCTTAGAGGAGAAAGCAGGAAAAGACCTCTCTGACCTCAGCCGTAGCAAGTTCTTACTTGACACATCCCCAAAGGCAAGGGAATTAAAAGCAAAAATGAACTACTGGGACCTCATAAAGATAAAAAGCTTCTGCACAGCAAAGGACACAATCAACAAAACTAAAAGGCAACCAACAGAATGGGAAAAGATATTTGCAAATGACATATCGGATAAAGGGCTAGTATCCAAAATCTATAAAGAGCTCACCAAACTCCACACCCGAAAAACAAATAATCCAGTGAAGAAATGGGCAGAAAACATGAATAGACACTTCTCTAAAGAAGACATCCAGATGGCAAACAGGCACATTAAAAGATGCTCAACATTGCTCCTCATCAGGGAAACACAAATCAAAACCACACTCAGATATCACCTCACGCCAGTCAGAGTGGCTGAAATGAACAAATCAGGAGACTATAGATGCTGGAGAGGATGTAGAGAAATGGGAACCCTCTTGCACTGTTGGTGGGAATGCAAACTGGTGCAGCCACTCTGGAAAACATTGTGGAGTTTCCTCAAAAAATTAAAAACAGACCTACCCTATGACCCAGCAATAGCACTGCTAGGAATTTACCCAAGAGATACAGGAGTACTGATGCATCGGGGCACTTGTGCCCCAGTGTTTATAGCAGCACTCTCAGCAATAGCCAAATTATGGACAGAGCCTAAATGTCCATCAACTGATGAATGGGTAAAGAAATTGTGGTTTATATACACAATGGAGTACTATGTGGCAATGAGAAAGAATGAAATATGGCCGTTTGTAGCAACACGGATGGAACTGGAGAGTGTTATGCTAAGTGAAATAAGCCATACAGAGAAAGACAGATACCATATGTTTTCACTCTTATGTGGATCCTGAGAAACTTAACAGAAACCCATGGGAGAGGGGAAGGAAAAATAAAAAAAGAGGTTAGAGTGGGAGAGAGCCAAAGCATAAGAGACTCTTAAAAACTGAGAACAAACTGAAGGTTGATGGGGGTGGGAGGGAGGGGAGGGTGGGTGATGGGTATTGAAGAGGGCATCTTTGGGATGAGCACTGGGTGTTGTATGGAAACCAATTTGACAATAAATTTCATATATTAAAAAATAATAAAATAAAATAAAGTAATAAAATAAAATAATATTTAATTGCATTTTAAAGTAGTTGATTATAAAATAAACCCAAATACATTTTTGTCTTTCCCCAAGTTACCATTTATTCTCTATTAAACACTTATGAATGAATAACTCAAAAGTAAATAATGATTCTTTAAAAGAGGTGAAGTGTTTTTAGCAAGATGTTTTAATTGTCCTAAAGTGAAAGACTAAAGACATCCTTACACAGAATTTTTGCTTTTCTGGTATGATTTTTATTGAATACATTTTTGTGGTCTTCTGAGTGCTGGCCAGGTTTTCCGTATGATTCATGACTCACTCGGGGCTGTGATCTTGTACCCACAAACCCATAGGAAAAAGTATAGGACAGGTTTCTGTAGTACAAGGAAAATCTTGTATCTTTTATATATTAAAATTGATGCTACCTACTTTATGTTTTATGGAGGGAAACTTTTTCAATTAAGAAAATTTACACTCTGTGTCTTGGTAGGAGTTTCTTAGCTAAATCACAAAAGCATACTCTGAGACACCCTGCTTTCCATTCCCTCTTAAGAAAATAAGTAAGGACTCAATAATGCCTCTTTAATTTTCCAGTGGGAACGGTGATGAGCTGAGCATTGGCATTCTGGATATATTTGGCTTTGAAAACTTCAAAAAAAATTCCTTTGAGCAGCTGTGCATTAACATTGCAAATGAACAAATTCAGTATTATTTCAATCAACACGTGTTCACATGGGAGCAGGTAAGTCATGGTACTATTAAGATTCATGTATGTGTGTGTTACATGCAGAATTGTACTAATGAAGCAAGACTTAGACCATAGGTTTAGGGCCTTAAATATATAGACAAAGGAAAGATTTTCTTTTCTCCATGCCTGTAGTAAAAACAAAAATAAAACCAGAAAACAAGTATGAATTTAGTGTCTCCATATGAGATGCCCTTCCTTGAAAAACCAATGCACCCTTCTCCAAAACTTAGCAAGTCTGAGCCCTTATACACAAACAGGTTTCCTTTGGAAATTTAAGTCAGCAGATGTGTCCAACTGTTTGTCTTTCTGTAGACTGTGTAGCTGAAACTCTGTTTGAAATTTAAATATCCATCTAAAATGCATTAAACTTCAGAATTCCGGTAACTAGGCAACAGAACACAAGATAATGGGTTTGATGCAAATGCCATGAAATGGCAATTTTGACAGGGTACAATATGTAATTTATGATTCAGCTTCAAAAATCAGAGACTTACTTGAATTGCATTTGGCAAAGCTGTAGTATTAAAATTATTTAAATTATTTTATCAAGTCTAAAAGCAGCAGTGGTCATGTTTTGTGTCATTTAGTGTGTCATGTGTCTCCTGTAAATAATATCACATTGTTTTGTGCTTACTGAATAGAACTGACGTTTTTACTTAAATTTGAGATAAATGAGAGGTACATGAACTTCTTTTGATTCAAAATATTTAGGCTTATTGAGAATTTACTTTAAAATTGCATTTTGAAAACACTAGTCACAAAAGAAAACCTCTAGATATTAACATTTCTTAGGCCAAAAAAAGGGACAAAAGTGTAAGGTTTTACCTGTGTTTGCATAGCTCTGTTCTACCCCAGGATCTTGTTCTATCAAGTATTCATTCCTCTCTTCTTTCTCACTCTGTGTCTCTCTCTCTCTCTCCTCTTTCTCCACTCTTCTCCATTAGCGCACGCAGTCCCATAGCCTAGATAAATGAGATCTTTAAAAATTGTTAAAAAACAAAAGCCTTTCTCCAACCTGCTTATCTCAGTAGCTATGGCCTCTCTCTTCCCTTCACAGCCAAGCTGCTTGAAAGCATATTCAGTATTCATTGCATTGTATTGATTTCTTCTCTACCTGAGTATATGAGTCTGTAGCATCTGGCTCTGACCTCGCCCACTCTCCTGGAATGGGCCTTCCTAATCTCATCAGTCATTGGTATCAGAAACATTTTAGTCTCTACATTATTAGCCTTTCTGTAATTTTCAACCCTGTTGATAAGTTCCTGTTTCTGGAAAACCCCTCCTTTAGCATCCCTAATACCATCTTTCTGTTTCTCTGCCATCTTCCTGTCTCTTCCTGTACCATCTCATAAGTCAGTCGTTCTCAACCCTGGCTGCATATTAGAATCACTGGGTACTGGAAAATCCCAATGCCCAGACCCTGTCCCAGACCAGTTAAATCAGATCTCTTGGAATGAGACCCAGGCATCAATATCTTCTAAAGTTCCCAGTTTATTCCAATGTGCAGCCAAGGTTGAGAATTACTGTCCTAAATCTTAACTCATGAAAGAGTTCTATCCTCTACCCCTTCTCGTACTCACTAGGAAAGATCATCCATTTCCATTCTTTCGATCACCCCCTTCATGCTAGTAATGCTTAAGCCCCCATCCAACCCACCTCTCTTTTTGAACTCCTGGCCTCCTTTTAAGACAGCTTCCAGAACTTTATCTAGAATTGAACCCATGGTCTTTCCCTCTCACTTATATTCTTCCTCAGCAAGTGACATCTCTATCTGCCACTTACTCAAGCCAAAAATGCATTTCATTTCTCATTACCGAAATCCAGAAAATTAGCGTGACTTGTTCATGTTTCTCCCTCCTCTATGCTCCAGTAAAAATATTTGGTTTATATTTGTGCCTTTCTCACTAGGCTACAGACTCCTTGAGGTCAAGGATTAGGTCTTAATTCATTTTGAATCTTCAGAGCTTGACATACAGCAAGTGTTCGAAAAATATTTATTAAATGAATGTCATCTTGCTTTAATGTCTCATAGTGTTCACAAGATCCATTCTAACCAAAGCCTGAAACAAGTGAATTTTGTTTTTTTCTTTGTTTGTTTGGACTTTTTGATGGGGATCTATTAGAATTACCTTCTTCATGGGACCAGGTGCATCTTCATGTATTTCCCATGTGATTAATTAGCAACTTGTGTTGGTAGGATTCTGTTATTTTTCTCTTTTGCAGGTTGAGGTTAGAACATGGTTTGATTGGAACTAGCCTTTAAACCAATGTACATATCTTTCAAAATTATTTGCTTTTCATTTTTTATAGGATGTTATAGTTTATAATCCACTTTGATAGCCTTGAATTTCATCCATGATCCTAATGCTGTTACTGCTTTTGTCTTTGGGCTTGCTACAAATGAAACTATTCTGGAAGACTCTTTTAAATATCCTTGAGAGGCTTTCAAGACAAAACAACTCAAAATTGTCCCTAGCAAATTAAGATTTCAACTAGAATCCAGGATTATACAAAGCAGTTTGAGGAATTGAGGCCATTCACAATCCTTTCAAATGCCTTTCTAGGGTAACTACCCAAGAATCTCTGCTTCATAACCTTATGGGACAGGCATTGGCAGCTGAGTGATCAGGTTGATGAATGTGTGATCCGCTGGATATGGGATTAGTCAGTGATTCTCTTGATTTTAACATGTGGGTGTACACGTTTGGGTTTTTTTTCCACTCTGTCACTTCTCTGTGAGTGCAAAAATTGTAACTGAGAAATGCTAACTATAGCTGTGTGTATTAGCTATCACAGGTAGAGAACACACAACACACTGATTTCTATAAATGAGAAATCACTATGAAGCCAGATCATAAATTAAAGCTATGGTCACACTTTCCTTGGTGAGATATAATCATAACTTTCACCTGAGAACTCCTTCATTTAATAAAGCCATTATTACTTATCCGTAAGACATACTCAGTTTCACGGACATTCAGATAATCTGGCAATCTGAACAAGACACAAGCTTCAGCCAGCACCTTCACAGATGACACAACTTCTGCTTCTATTTAAACCAACAAACATGGTCTTTACTGGCAGTCCTGCAACAATGGAACATAAATAAAGGTTTGCTGAAAACACTATTTTCTTTAAATTCGGCCCAAATTCAATTGACATGTAATACACAGTGGGACACTCCAGCAAAGTTGGTTATGAAGGTATTTTGAATATTGTTTTCCCATTATTTTCCATTAAAACAATAATCAACAGACTACAGTAAAATATTTTTAGTGAAAGAGATTATGTCACTGACCCAATCCATAGTTTGCTGAGTGGATAGTTTTAAATAATACATAGCTCCTCAAACTTTTCTGGAGTTTGATGTTTCATAATATTTGAAGCTTCCATACTTTTCCAGCACTGGAAGAACCATTTTGCGTATATTGATTTTAACAAAATTTAAAGGGACAGTTTATATATGAAAACAATAGTTTGAAAATTAAATCACAGTCTGGTTTCCTGTACCTACCTACAAATAGACATTAAGAGTTTAGTTGTAATCTTTTGATATTCATGACTCAGGCTTTTCTAAATGAGCAGCAACTGAAAAATATATAATTTTCTGTTAATTTAATTAATTCCACAAATAAAGTATTTATATGTCAGCCTTCCCTATTACATTTGTATGGCATTATTTTGACACACACTGTTTACTCCCATATTTTTCAAAAAGCTTTTAGTGAAGCAGCTGAAAGGGAAGCGAACAAGTTACCACATTTCTGATAAGGGAGGCATCTTCTTACAATAACATTTACACTGAATCTCCACAGACACTGTGTAGCCAAGATTTTGGTTTTGCTTGGTTGTTTTTGTTTGTTTTCTGTCATTCTTCCATGGACGGAGAGCACAACGGTAGTCAAAGTGTGATTAAAGCTTGAAGTTCTCTTCAAGGAGTCATGCTGATGCTATAGTAGTGGGTTTTGTCCTTTCTTTTAATTGTGCACTATGATACATCATTGTGGTATAGACCATGCAAAAGAAATGAACCCTGTTCCCTAGAAGTTTATGTTATGTTTCAAATCAAGGGGAATGAACAGCCAACCACTGAAGAGTCACCAATGGGCATGAGTTTGAGGTGGAACAAACACCACTGTTCTTTAGGACCATTAGGCACCCAAGACATAGCTATCCTATGACACATTGCTCTAGAATCCTGAAGATTCACTCTCCTTGCTTATACTCCTACTTATACCTAGGGTGAGCTTTCTTATCCATTAGTGCAGGACATCTTGCCGTCTATTAACTGAGCTGAAGTTCGTTTTTAAAGTGAGCTGTTAATACTTGTTCTGTACAAGGATAAGCTGTTACATACATCATTTATATATATATACCCGTGGGTTTAAAATTAAAAGTTAGAAGTCATTTTATAAGCAGGAAACCATTTACAGCACATAATGGAGACAATAACTGTAATTATGGCTCTGGCTTCTCTTGCAGAAAGTGATGTGTATGACTTTCCTCTCCAGCTGTTCATATCTCAAAGTTTGAAGCTTTTGAGATTTTGAATATGGGCTCCAACACATAATTTGTGGCAATTACAAAGAACAAAAATTCATTCATCATACAGTATCTACACTTTCAACTTTTTTTACGTTATGAAGTAAAAAGAATCAGTCATCACATAAAAAAAAATGTGTGGGCAAACCCCTTAGAAATGCCTTCAAATTGTTTTGCTTACAAAGTATGAATTTTTATTTCATATTCAAATTTCTTCCCTATTAAACCATATGTGTGCAATGGTGGTAGCATTTGTCTTATTTTAGTTCTCCAAGTGATAAAAGCCAATTTATAGGCATTTTCTTAAAACATTAAAACAACCATGCATTTAAGAAACAAATAGATACAACAAATCTTGCTTTTTAAGTGCTTGGCCAAGTTTTGGGTTACTGTTTGAGATCACATACAAATTTTCTGTAGACTCACGTACTGAGTATGGAAGTTGATATGCA